GTCGTCGTCGGCGGGCTCGTACGCGCCGGCGGCCGCTCGTCCCACGCCTACCGTGCTGGACGAGCCGTTGGGGGGGGCACGCGGGCCCGGCCATGCCGAGCCGCCCCGGCTGCCGGCACCTAGGAAGTTCGCACCCAGGCCCACCTACGAGCACCGCGCGATTGTCGACCGCGCCGACGACGACTTTGATGATCTCGAGTTCAAGCAAGGCGCGCTGCCCGTCGACCGGCTCTTCGAGCCCCGCGAGACCTTCGAAGGGTTCGTCGACCAAGGTTCGTACCGGAGCTGCTGGCGCGCTCGAGGAGTCCCATTTTGCGGAGCCGCCGAAGGCCCCGTCCGGAGAATGCGTCGGAATCTTTAAGAGAGTTGTTGCACTGCGCGAGTACGCCGGGCACTCTGCGATGGGCACGATGTGTCGTGTCTTTCTGCAAATTTTCTATTACGCAGATTCGAGAAATTATAAAAGTGTCGAGCAACAGCCTCAAAAATTTCTGAACAGAGATGCGGATTGTTGATTTTCATTGACATAGCTCTTAAAATTGATGGTTAATTACGCGCGATTACGATTCAATCTTGATCAATTTTTATTTTTTATTTTTTATTGTTTCCGTTTTTCTTTTTAAAATATCAATATATTAGAAATGGAAATGTTATGTCACACCCATCTGTGTTTCAGCGTAATTCGCTTTAATAATTTTTGTTATCTGCAAAAACTGATTGTTTGCAATCAATAATAATACAGGTAACTTATCTGAATGCAGGTATTTTATAATTTTTACGATGCTTCGTAAAAATTATAGTGACGACAAATTGACATGATAAATTCTTAACAACAAGGTAAAAGGACAAACATTCTAAACTTAAATTGACGAATAGATTTTTTTTTTAAACATAGAATAACATTTTTGAAGATAATTTTTATTTTGTTAAAATAATTTCTTTTAAATTTGGACCTACAAGCATTTTATCTAACATATTGTATTCACAATAATTAAAGAATTGTTTAAATTCAATTTGGAGATATTAGTGGACTAGATTATTAGTATAAAATAATATTTTCTTAAATAATTATCTTGAATGTATTCGAAATGCTCAATTTTTTGATAAACTATTGTCTCTAATGTTTTTTTTGTTTACAAATTTAAGAGAAAACGAACATATCTTGTCGCAGCTGGAAATGCAATTGGCAATAGGTTCTTCACTTATTTCTTCATTTAGCAAGAAAGAAATTTCATTTAATACATCTGAGTGCACTTAAGACAGGTCAAAAAGTCGTGATTAATCATTTGCCTTGTTCCCGCATACGATGCTACGATTGTAGCAGCCGAGAAAAAGCTTTCAATTCCGCCGCATTAATTTCTCAGACCCTCCGCGTCGCGCTGCGGCATCATTCGCAGCAAAACTTGCTCATAAACATTTTCACGAATTATCCAAAAGAGATGCTCTTGTAATTTCGCAACGACCTCCGAGCGCAATTTTGCTCGCGAGTGCAGTCGCAATGTAAAAATACGTACGACTCCACTGTGAGCTGTGCGATTACGATCTTTCTTCCGTCGCTTCTTTATAAAAGAGTCGGAAGATGGGTCCTTTTACCTCTTTTCGCGAGGACGGATTTATTCGAAGATTGCACTTCCTGTGCGCAACTTGTTACGCCCGGTCGTTTACAGTGAAGGTCATCGCCCATCCCGACAATTCCACCAGCTACGAGGTGATTGAATCGCAGTTGGAGAATCCGCTGATCGACGCCCAGCACCGAGACCTACTCGCCATGAAGCAAATCCCCATTCCAGGCGGACATCATCATCGCAGTCATCACAGAAAGAACCAAACTGACGATGTGGAACGTGAGTCTCTCATCAATCTTATTTTTAACCTATTAAGTGAGTTATTTTTCAACTAAAAAGATCCCGTTTACCGTTGAAAATATATAACGACGGATGTGTTCGCTTTTTAATGTGATTGATATAAATTAATTATTTTTAGCTATAAATAAAACAGTTTTTGTAAATGTAAAAAAATATTCTTTATATATATTTTTATAATTATACATTACAAAAATTGTAAGGATAACAAAGTGGTGTCAATTTTGCAATTACTTACAATAAACGCACTATTTTGTTATCAAATATGTCTTATGATTAAAGTAATAAAATTGTTTAAATTGTTTCGCTCGAGCGATCTTACGTGAAATGATGCGCAATATCAAAATTGCACTCTTCGATATTCCAGCGCGAATTACGCGCAATGAGTACGAGTAATAAAGTACTCAGTGCGTAATCATAAATTTTTCCATCAAGATGATCTTTCTTGCCAATGGCGGAAGGTTATGCTAAAAATGTCACGGCATCACTGCTATACTCGCGTCATGGAAAATTCCATTTGTTTTAATGCGTTGCGCAAATTCATATTTTCCTGCAAACTGCCTGCGACGGCATCCTGTTGAAGGATAGGCGAGTTTTGCGCGAGAAAAATCCAGAGAAAAGAGATGTATGAAATCTATTTTATGCATGCGACTTTTATCATAGATCGTAGCGTGGTAATTGCCTTAATCTGTTTCAATAACAGCCAATTATCTTATATAATATTATATCGTAAATGTTTGATCTTTTATTTTCACAAGGCGCGATGATTAAATATGTATTGTATATATAAAGAGCAAGATTTAATTTTAATTCAATTTTAATTATTATAAATTAAAAATGTTTCAAAAACTTATGCCATTTGTGCTTAATGTTTATATAAAAATATTTATATAAAAATATCAAAATTTCTACGTAAGTAATAAAAATATATATGTACATTTGGGTAAACAAAATTTTTTAAATTTTACTGATTTTTTATACATAAAAGATAAGTAAATTAAAAACATAAAAAAATAGTATGTACTCTTATTTACGAACAAAATGCAGATTTGAATTTAATTGTTATGCATCAGAAATATAAATATAGCAACATTTTCAATAGGAAACAGTTTACGCATTGCAAATATAAGAAGAAAAAGATAACGGAAAAGTTTATTGAAGGAGGTACAATAGGAATCTGAAAATTTATTGCAATATCTCGCCGAGAATATTAATTACAACACGGTCGACTAAATCTTCGCACATTCGAAATAATTTTCCGTGTATCGGGCAGAATAAAAAACACGTTTCCGTTTCAATATCGAATAGTGATTACCAATTGCAATAAAAATGCTTCCCAGTGAGCCGATGCAACGCACCAGAATGAAATTCATTAGTTTCCACACAACAAATATATTTCCGTATGCATGTACATATAATATACATGAATACCGAAAAAAAAAACGGCAAATAAACAAATTGCTTCATCTGATATTGCGATACTTGTGAAACCTGATTTTTTACATTTTTATCTCTTTAACGCAAAATATTATATTTATATTTTATTTTACTTTTATTTTATTATAAACTATCATATAACTATATGCATATAGTTGTACATTAACAAAATTAAAATCACATCAGAATAATGCGATATTTTCCACGAAATTACACGACAGTATAACTAAAAAAATATGATTATTCTTGTAAAATTAAAAAAATTATTATATAACAAAATAAAATGCTAACTTATAATCTTTCAAAATCCCTGCAAAACTCAAGAAGAAGTTTTAAAAACTATACCTGTAAAAATAAATAATATCGGCAATTACTAATTCTCGATTAATCAAGATAAATGATAGAACGAGCAAATAATAGGAATTAATCTTCAGACTACTTCTACGATCGCGATTTTCTGTCGACGCGATGAAAGAGCGGAGGATCGATTGCATCTCCGCGTAATATCTCGCAAAGATATCACCTCAACGAGTAAGATTTATCGCAGCGAAAGTTTAATTTAATTTCGACTCTCTCTCCGGTTGCTCTCATTTCCTGCCTCTTCTCGTATCTCTCCCGCGCGTCCGCATATTATTTCACGAACCGCCGGATTTCGAACTTTAATCCGCCATCGTGCCCAAGACTCGTCCAAGTTTTCGTCGTATTCGATATTACACGACGGTTTTACATCGATCGCCGTTTCCCAGATTTGAGAGAAACGCGCTTGAGAGAACAGGTGCACTCGCTCGAACTCTCGTTCGAGTAAGAGAAGAGGATTTTACTAGGAAACCGATCTTCTTTCTCGAAAACTTTTTTTATTTTCAACAATTTCTTATAATTATTCATATAACAACACGTCTAAGTGAAACACAGTTAAGATGATCTAAATTTTTCATATTAAAAGTTTCATTTATTTTTTATTAATTTTTTGTTAGAAAGTAACTAAATAAAAAATTTATTGACAATGTAATAATTTTAATAAGATTGTTTTAACTTAGCGATCAAAATGATGGACTGACATCTAGAATTTTAAATACTTAAAAAATTGTTTCCCATCTTTTTGCAATTTTTGTTTTAATAAATCACATAAAAAGTTGTGTAAAAAAGTATATACACCATTTATTAAACAGAAATCATTGAAAGCGCTTCAAATTGATAGTGTCATATCTTGATGAACATTAATGCTAGCCTATACGTTATAATTATGTCAGTGCGTTTGTTTAGTCTCGCCGATAACGATTTACATACCCACGTCACGTGTTCATTTATTTGTACATTGCCATGCCCAAGGGAATGACGAACGTGAAAAAAAAAATGGAAAAAAGAGCTACGAAAAACGGATTCGGATTGACTCATCGGAATTCCACCGCGACAATTAACACTGCGAAAAAACGACCAGTAATTAAAAACGTATCCAACAATCGCGCGTTGCGAACCTTTTATTCATCGATTACAGACTAACTAATTTCTTGTCGATTAATTAGCATCATAATCCGATAGCATATAATCCATTGTCAATATTTATTTTTGATGTATGATTACACCTCAAGAGAGACTAGAAGAAAATTAATTGCAAAATAACGAGAAAAAGTTGGTTAACGAATCTTTTATATGATTAATTGAAACGTTGATTTTTCATTTTTTTTTTGCATGGACGCTATCGGATATAAAAAATAATAATACAAAAAATTGTTGCTTTAAATTCAGTTTTTATTCGTATAAACTAAATTTTTGTAGAAATAATAATGCTATTGTTATATAATAATATTTTTTGCAAAATATTTTTGCTAAAGCACAATAAAAAATCTCATAAATATAAAAATATTCATATGTTTTATAACAAAAAAAATTAAATATTTATTTTGCAGTTTTAAAACTAGGATAAATCTCTACTAACTACACGTACTTTTTGTAAAAAACAGCAGATAGTAGAATTTATTAAAAATATATATTATATATATTACAAATATATGTTACATATTTACATATGTAAGTTGATTTAATTGATAACTAATTAAAGTAAGCTGTGGAATGAGAACACAATGAGTACAGAGCGAAATATGTAAATTATTTAGCTATTGGTTAAAGTGATACCAGAAATGTGTTGGAAAATTTTTTGTCTGACAACGCGCCGGGGTTAACCGTGAATAACCACCGCGATTAGCTAGCGTTTTTTGGCACTAGCGCGTATCTTGTTTCTCCACAAATTATTGCTGTAACTAATTGCCCGCTCGGCCAATTAACGTCAAATATGGGAAACGCAATTGCAATCGGGAAGCGCCGCTCGCTCAGCGCTTTGCGCGCTTCTTTAACGCGATTTTCTCTCAATTACAGCTGCGCTAATTACTCGGTTGGCCGATCAATTACGGATATTCATTGCGGTTTTAGATATATAAATAGCGGATAAAATCGAAACCGCTCTACGGTAGTGATCTAATGATTAATTAGCACGTTCGCTCGCACCTTTATTAATTGTCACAAGTTGTGTGTTTTGGTCTCTTTTTACTTTGCACATTAGAATCACTTGATAAGCCGCTTTATCAAAAATTGCAGTAAATAATACATTACTATATACGTAATACACATAAAACAAAATAAAAAGAAGATTTTTATTTCATCTTTTTTGCAAACGCGTTTCTTTTACTGTTTGGCTGCATTTGTACTCGACTAAAATTAATTGTCTTTATGTTGAGTAAATTAATTAATTTAGAGAATCGTACATGTTATAAAGTACAGAAAAAAATTTTATTTAGATGTTTATTTTAAACTCTGTAATAGAATACGATTATAGATTAAGTGAAATATTAAATATCGGAAGTATCAATTACAAACGCGAAAAATTGTTCTAAATATAGCAGTATCTTTATTGAAATATTCTTACATCATACCTGTCGCGCGACTAAAATTATATTAAGAAGTGACTTATCTCAACAGTAACTGATCTTATTTAATTTTTACATCGTTTAATATTTAACCCGGAAGCAGACGCGTATAATGAGAACTTTCCGGCTAACCGACGTGGTTGAAACGCTCGCTAAAACGTTGAGAATAACCACAAGGCAGATCTTGTGCTCGACGAATTCGCTCTCGGAGCTCGTTATGGTATTATAAATTTCAGCCGATTTCGCAAATTCGACGTCGAAAACTCACGGCTGCGAACAAGTATTAGCAGCTTTGAATTTTGTGTGAACGAATCTCTTGACGAGCGGGAAAGTGAATTACACCGTGAATCTTGATCCTCTTTAAGAACAGTATTCAATCGTTAGTATTGCGTGGTGTCAGAATGTTTCGTCAGTTTAACATTGCCGCTGAATATGCAACGCGGACAGGCACAAGCCGCGAGTGTCGACGTTGAACTTGCAATTTCGTTAACCGGCGATTTGCATCCCCGTCAGCCTCGCGATGCGACGCGGTAAAAATTGCAACCGCGAAGTTGCGAGATGTATTCGCGGCTCCCCGATTATTTCTGGCTTTCGTAATAGGCGAAATTTGATAGAAGTTACGGGAACATGGAGCCAGATATAAACCGCAACCTGGGTTTTGTCGAGGTTTGAAGCGTTCTGACAACATCTGTCACATTTCATTGTCCTGCGTTTCTACGTTCCTACGTGACACGTCTGACTGATGGTGAAGTTTGCGGCTCATTTTATGAACCTGCTTTACAGAACAAAAACGAATTGGCTGACAAGAATCATTCGTATAAATTTTCTTGCTTCAAAATTATCGACATAAACATCGCAAATACTCTAATATTGTTTAAAAAAGTTTTTTAAATAAATTTTCTATTTTTATAGTGTGATCAGGATTAAGAGATCGTATAATTTTATTAATGTATTGCGTAAAACACGCAAAATGTAAAAAATTCGGTTTACGATATTTTACTGAGCACCGTATTTAAGTTCGATATGCGGAAAACCTTTCAAGGCAAACAAAATTTTTTTCATTTGACTTGCAAAAAGAGGTGTGTATTCAACACCTAAGCATTAGCCTAAGTGCATAGGACAAGTAGTACATGTTTCACTCGCAGTGTTTTAGCCGAGTCCATTCTCCACCAGCAAATGATCTCGTTCGTTCGGGAGTCTAACGACTCGCCGAGCGAGTTTCTGCATCCGTGCACCTGTGTCACTGAAAAGGTCCTCACCTGACCGAGGAGCCGCGATATATTTCGCGACGCGAAGTCGAGCTCGGCATCGATCTCGAGGAGCGGCACGAGTTCCAATTACCTCCGCTCGGAATTGCCCTTGTTTCGCCGAAACTAAATCCGGGAATCTTCCTGCAGCGCGCCGACCGGATCCGGAACTCGCGATATTGATATTCCATCGGAAACGCTTGATACACGTTCCGATTTGTGTTCCGATAACCTTTGTAAACGTTTCAACCTTGTTTCGGTTATCTGTATAGTTTCCATATATCTGTAATTTGATATATCCTTTTATTTTCTATTTATTTCACGCAGATAGCTGAAACGAAGCTTTTCATTTCCCTTTAAATATTTCTTGATAATCTAATATAATAGCCTTTTATCTGAACATTATACAAAATTGATTAAGCAATAATAACAAAGTGGATTTATAAATAATGTTAACCTGCGACATAATAAATTTTGTGCAGATTTCACAAGAATATAAATAAGAGCGCGTAATGAATAACGAAAGTACTTTCCACTAAATGCATGCATTTAAAATAAACACCATTTTATCCTGCCACTACTGCAATTTCATGGAAATTAATTTACTCGCGACTACCATTGAAACTTTAAACAGCGGTCGGTTTGCTTTTTCCAAAAGTATCGAAACAAACACACATACAGACAACTCACGAGCGATTCAGGGGTGCGATTAAGGCCTCCGAGGGGCTGTGAGGGGTTGCCGGCCGCTCGTTTGTCTTAATAAAGTGCGTCGAAGCCACGCTCGCCATGGTGTGGTTGACTTATGGCCAGTCATCTGGCTCTTCTCATGGGGAATCCTAGACCCTTTTTTCTTTTTCATGCAGCCGAAAAGGTAGCCCCGCCAGTCCCCCTGTCTCGATATTCACAGACACCTTCCCCCCCCCCTCCCCCACAACCGTTAACCCCGTCACCGGGATCCATCAATCGAAGAGAGGATGTTGGTTAATGATGGCGATCATTCGTCATCGGGCGGATACCCGTCTCTCCTGACAATCGCTTGTCGAATTTCAGTCTGTTACGGAGCCCGGAATTCCAATACGGTTTTTTACAGCGGTTTATCGTGCTGTTTTCTTTAAAATATTTCAAAGCGCTATCGATTTATTTTTCCGAATTCGTAGAAAACATCCATTCGAAATCAATATAAGCGCGCAATCTGACACAATTAATCACATTTGAATGAAATCAAATTTAATTCAATTTTTTTTTTTTTATGAAACGTTTTAATAATACTGCACCTAAATGAAGAAAGGAAAGATGGATTATCTATTTATCCTGATTTAAATTTGTGATTCTGACATGGCTGGAAATAACGAAGGCGATAAGCGTTGTTCTTTCCCACCGCGCATATGAACGCATTCATAGTGTGACATTGATGATTTATCATTTATTTGTGTCCGCCGGTGAGAAAAGTGGGTCTCCCCAGTGACTGTGTAAACAGTGCATTACAGATAGAACAGGTGGAGTTCAGGCTGCCATGTTTAACCACGCTGATGTCGATCTATGTTAAAGGAAGAGCGTTGCACACATCACTCGATGTTGCGATCGATGGTGGAAGCTCGCGTTTCAATTTATGCTGGAAGAACCTTCACGTCGCGCGTACAATGGTAGACATATCTATGATAAACGATGCTTTTCACAATTTATCAAATACCGGGCGCACCCGATATACAATTGCATTACACAGCGCTAATTGGAAAAGTTTCGCCCGTTATAATGAAACCTTCATCTTGTTATTTTTATACGCATATTTGATCAATAGAAATTTCAAGCAAGACATTGAATTGTTACATATCCGTCCTTATGAATCGAAATGTACCAAAAACCGTGGAATTTTTATGTGCAACTACAAATATCTGTAACTATTATTCTAATTAAAATATTTAAACAATATACTAGAATTTTGAAACGTCTAAGACAAAAATAATTTAAATTGATATTTAAATTTGAATCCAGAATATCATTAGTTAAAGAAAAAAAATTTTAAGTGTGTTTAAAAGAGATGTTTTTCTGATTAGGGTTTGTTTTGCTCATAATACTGAATATTAGATTTTTCTTTTTGCAATTTTTTGTAATAAATTATAAACAGATAATATATCTAGTCAATGACTGGATTTTGTATTAAATCACGAACTTTTTTCTATCTTAAAATAAGAAAATATAATTCATATTGTTTATTGTGTTTTGCCTTCAACGGATCAAATATATACCTGTCATATATGAAAGATAAAAATAATGCCCTACGAAAACAACCCCTTCAATTTTTTATTTTCCTAGGAGAAGAAAAAACATCCTGTCATCCTTAAATTTTCAATAGTTTCAACCATCCAAACTTCCTAAGAATATAAATCAAGAGTTGTTTTTGCGAGAATTGCTGCAATCACATTGTAGATTTCACCTGTGAGTGCTAAAATACGTTATCATTTCAATTTCCTCAAATTTTGACAAGGGTTGTCTTTGTTATGAACTCTTCAATTTGCATCTTCCATCCATTTGACATACTTGTTTGTTTCGCAGAGGGCGTGATGCTATCGTCCTCCTCGCCGGACGTCGACCAACCGGTTAAGTTGATCCTGTCAAGCACGTGTCACCACGCTTATACGTCGTGCAAGTAAGTTCACGAATTCCCGTAGCGGTAATTGATCGATTATTCCGGATGAGACCCCGGACAATCTACATAAGGAACATCTCTCTTTGTGCAGAAACGATCCGGAATGCAAGAACTTGCTGCAACCTGTTCTGAACTACTGCGAGTCAACGGCATGCACGAGGAACGTGTGCATGGAAGCGCTGCAACACTTCTATAAGAACGCTAATCACAAACATACCTTGGAAATCGCCTTCTGTCTTTGCAGGTCGGTTGCGCAGACACAGAATCCTTTTTATTGCTATTGTTTCGTTCCACATTTTTTGTTATTGCAAATCCGTGGCTTATATTTTATTTAGGTACATCTTTCCTCCACATTTTTCCTGTAAACAAATTCAATCTCTTTTCTTCTTCGTTCATCGTTTATTGCTCTGTAAATCAATATATAATTCAGTCATTTCAGAAAATGTAAGCGAGAACCGCATGTTTCAAGTTGCTCGTTAATATTTTTTTCAGCAAAAAATATTTGCTTTTACATAATTGCAGTAAAGTGATTATTGTTCTGTTCAGTCTTGCTCTAATAGCGCTAAATGTTTAATTGGTCCTTCATTGTCGCGAGAAAGTCGCGTTAAAATATTATACGTGCGCGGCGCTGCGCGAGCAACTATGTCGTAGCACAATGCGCGACGTAACGTGAATTAATAACGGATTATTTTAACGGGCGCCTGCGCACGCGAAACGACGGATCAACCGTCGGCGCCGTCGTAAATTAATTGGGAATTAATCGAAGGACGCAGCGCGTTACAAATTTGCGCTCTAATTACGCCTGTGCGCGCGCACGGATTGCGCCAACGATAAATTTTTTCCAAAATCCAACCTATTGAGTGATTGAATCCGAAGCTTTTGCAGCCACGCGTAACAATGCGTATCTCGCGATGCGTGTGCGGTGCAGCGCGTATTGCTATGGACGCGTTACTACATCCCATCGGTTACGCGCGGCCGAACGGTAATCGATATATTGAAAAAGAAAACGCAACGTGTTTAACGGCCAGGAACGCCAGATCACGATCTCGATGCATCTCTGATGCGGCTCAATGCATTATGCAAGCTCATGTAAAGGTAATAATAAGCAGAATTACAGGGATGAATAACACAGCGGAAGCGTATAATCGCAGCCAATTTTTCGATGCATCCGATCGCAGTTCGATGTAATAGAAGTTTGAATTATGATGATGTAATGATAAGACGCAATTTTCTTGCGCGCATCAATATTTTATTACAGATGTGTTTTTGACTTTTTTTTTTTTTATAAGAAGAAAACTTCTTTCAACTTTTGTTAACGTTGAAGAAATTTCCTTTCTTATCTAGAGCAATGGGGATGTAGAAATATTGTGCCAAGTCAAATGTAATCTTCATTCTTTCTTTTTTTTCTTGAACTAAAACGAGTTCTGCCTGATGCATGTCAAACAATAATGAATTTTTAACGAATTTTTAATACAATTTTGCTTGGGAAACAAATTACTTCTGCAATATGATTAATGTGAAAGGAAATCATGAGATGAAAAACACACGACGAGGAGGAGTTAATTTACATCAGCATGTGCAACTTTGCACAAGAGTAAACAAAGGCTTTAATACCAGGCCGGAGTCGAGGAAATTAATGAGGAAGTAATGGGATTCCCATGATACCAAATTATCTCCTCAAATAATAAACAATACTACAATCTTTGTTTATTGTGACAAAGTAATCGTTGATCTAATTTTACGCGTAGTGACTACAATAGTATTGCAAAAAAAAATTTTACAATCTCGACAATTAACTTTGGAGAGAATCACTTGTAGAAATCAAATTACCTTTTTTTTTTTAACAAAAATCAATAACGAATGGAAAGCCGATTATAAAATCTTTGAAAGCTTAGAGAATCGAGGCGTGAGACCAATTTCAAAATCTGACGACTTCGACAGAGTCCTCGAAACAGCCCTATAATATCCTTCTTGCATGAGTCTTGCGGAAGATCGTCCTTTTTAACGAGACTCCTTTAACTTTTAAGTGGCTTTCGGTCGCGAAACAATGCGGAAACTTTCCGCTCTCGCCTCGCGTCTTACTTTTATCCACCGAATCCTCGCGGCAGTCTTTTCTATCGAGTCGTCCTTTTGTCCAAACATTCGTCTCAAAATAAGGACCGAACGGAATAAGAAAATAGGGCTGAATAAAATACGTTCGTTTAATATTTACCGAACAATGCGCGCCACACAAACTTTGTTTTACCGACCACGCAATAAATATTACATTATTGTTACGAGAGTCCTAAATCTTTCTTTAGTTACAATAATTGAGGTATGAATTAAGAAGCATAAATTAAATGTTTCAATTTAAATATTTTTAATTAAAAAAAAAAACGCTCTATTGCTATGAAATATTGCTTTTATTTTTTAATATTAAGACAACTTTAACGCGTGTTGACGCGTTGCTTCAATGATTAAATAAATAACTGGTTTTTAATTACTAAAGAATTTTGTTATTTTGTAAAATATAAGTTTTTTTTTTTAATTCGAGTATTTTGTAATATCAAAGTCGCATCTTTATCAGAATACTTCTTTATTCAGACTACAGTGCTTTTTAAAGAATTCATAATTTCTCAAATTTTATTATGTACCCGCTTGTTTCTCTTGTAGAAAAACGAACGACAAGAAGGATGAATGCATAGTGGCGCAAGAGAAAACGCATCCAATGTGCGCACAGCGCATGGACGATGCTGAAATGCCGACGTGTCACAGTCTGGCCAAGAGTTGCAAAGCGAACAAAGTGTGCAGGTGAGAACCACATTCGTATTTTTGAAATTTTGCACGCTTCTTCGTGAATTATCTGTGCGTCACAATTTTGCACAAACGTAGGCACTGGTAAAAAGCATGAAAGAAATATTTCAAAGGGAACAACAAATTTAGCACGCACACGAAAGTACAATAATATAGTATTATAAACAGTTGAGCTTTAAATAAACCCTGAAACTTTTAATGAAGTAAATTTAATAAGACTTAATGTCGATAATTTTGTTTGAACGAAAGTTTTATTGACGAAGCAGTCGTGCAAAAATCTCTCATAAGATAAAATGATTTTCTAAGCACTTAAGGGGATTCGCTTAAAAAATTACACTCGTGTACACTGCTATGTATACGAAATCGGTAAGGTAAAAGACACATCGTTTCAGCTTTTATATTCACACTGGTCGTCTGACGAACGTTCTTCTGGCTAAGGAAATATTGTATTAGCACGCGGGTAAATCTTGTTGAATCGCGATTTAACTTTAAAATTGAAAAAGTTCCAACGGAATCGCGAGAAAAAATAAGGAACAACGTGTTTGCGGTGTTTAATCGGGTGCTTCTCTGGTTTACTCAATGAGATAAGATTGCGTCGTTCTAATTGGATATTACTATTTACGTGTCAATTTTGTTCCCGTTACATCGCACAACGATCTCTTCACTCCTTGCGAAAAGTCTCACAAAAAATTGCGAGAACGGAAAGAAAAATATTTCATCGTGCAAAATTGTTTATTTTTTAAAATGATATATTAGGTACCGCGGAAAGTTCGTGTCGTTTTTCTAAGAGATGTCGTTCATCGGAAAAAACGACACGAACTTTCCGCGGTACCTAATATTTTACGGGACACATTTAGTGTAATTTTGTAAACTAAATATTAATAATTAAATCTTTCTCAAAATGACGTGGACGGCGTTAATTAATGAGGAGTAAAGATAGGGCAGTAATTGCGTATAAAATTTACAATCTGAAAAATATTGATGTTTCATCAAGATGAGTTAAAAAAGTTAATTCTGTGTTGATAGTAGAATTTCTATAAATTAAGCTCGGACATTAAATAGTATATTAAATATTTAAAATCTCAATGGTTGCGAATTGCATCAATGTCGATTAGCCTATTTCTGGCAAATTCAATTTCCTCTCTCGCTCTCTTTGCCCATCTATAATACAGTTAAGATTGTACTCTTGAGAGAAGGACGGAAAGAGACAGCGAATCACAGAGCTAATCGGAATCAGTTAACTCAAACTGTCGGTGCAACTCAATTTTAGTTTCTGCAACCGACAATACATTATTGATGTTTGTCTAATTGTCGATCGCTCTACTGCTCGAAACTTAAATGTGATCTCAGGTAATAGCAATCTGGATAAACTTATTTTATAAATTTTGTTAACTTAACGGAAATACACGGCATAAAAAACACTTTGCGTTGAATAGGTTAAAAAACAGCGTGAATAACGGTGGATTAAAATGAGTGAAAAGAAAGCGCAATTGTGTACACGATTGCCTCGCCGATCGATTAAATTAAAACACGCGCTCATGCACGCATGCCGACACACGCGCGCGCACGCATGCACGGCTCGATTCGGCGTTTTAATTGATTTATCGCCGAGGGCAAACGAATCCATTTTTAATTTTGCCATTTAGAGATATAAAGGCGACACAGAAACGAGCGATTGCTGCGTGCTGTCAATGCACGCTTTGTGCCTCGATGCGTTTCTCGCTTCGAGGTGTCTCGATAGTTTTTATTTAATTGCTACTATAATAATCGCTTGAAATATATCTATTATTTGTATCGTGATAGTGTTTGATGCGTGATTTAAATTTGCAATAATTAAATTGTTGAAATCAACGCGCTACTCGAAACTATAATGAAACAAATTAAAGTAAATTACTTTTTGTTCTTTTATGTTTTGTTACTTATATTCTTGATTTGTTATTTGCATTTTAATATTATCATTTATTTAACAGAAACTTTATTTTCAAAAATGTTATTAGCAAACTTTGATGATTTTTTAATTTGAACACTGATTAAATTGTTATCTCGTTTTTTATTACAAGTAAAAATACATCAAATATACTAAACAGAATTTAAAGACAATTTCATTTCAGTAACTAGCATTTATAGATTAAATTACCGCTGCACAATTGATCGTTTCAGTTACAACGAAAATATTTTTTTCCCGGATGTGACAAATGTTTCGTATAAATAGCAGTTTTGTTAACATTTAAAATCAATTAAATATATAGAGATTTCTGCCGTTTCTCAGTTTTTTAAAATTTTTATTTAATTATCAACGTATCTATGTTAACCTAAACGTCTATTTAAACGTATTCTGCCAATATGTAGTGATCTTATTGAAAAAACTCGATTGACAAATCTCGAAATAAATAGCTTTTGCTTTTAGGTCAAATGTAATTAGAATGAATTTTAAGAAATAGAATCTTTATATTTAAATACATAATATACTTTTATTTAATATTTTAAATAGAATATTAATTTATATAACATTTTACTGCGTTATCGAAAATTTGTATCCTAGCAATATTAATTAAAATAATTGACGAAGCAGTATTTTCTCGTGTATATTTTATCAGTTACAATATTAAACATTATTGTAAATAAAAATTTGTAATTAAAATGTTTCTATGAGAGCGGAGTTCACAATTTATCAGTATGTATTCAGTCACTATAGGTAATCAATTGTCACCAATAATCCCAGTGGTCGTCAAGGATGCACTTAGCGATTATCCATTGCTGCATCACAAATCCCCTTAGCTATTTAATATGTTACTATTGAGCACACAGATACGTGCAACAATCATTAGAATATTATTTAGTCAACGCCGGAGATACTTTTAGACACTTTTTAATTAAATGAATTGTTTACGCATTCAAATCCAGTCAACTTGTCAATTAAGCCAATTTCCCATCTAATAGTTTGTCAAAACGTGACATTTTATTTATATTTGACTATTTTAGTTTGAATATTTTAACAGAACATTCATGATTAATTAACAAATAAATATCAGCTTCTATAATTTAATATTGTAAAATAGTTGTGCATCTCTAATGTTAGGATGAGAACAGATATACACTTTTCACATCAATTTTCATTTATTTGCTTTTAATTGACAAAATATATAATTTTTTTAAATAGGACTGATCGTTTTGTATTCATATATACAATACTAATAAATAGTCAGTATTTTAACGCAGATTGCAATCATATTTATGGCACACATGATATACAATGACATTTGATCCAATTTTCTGTTAATTTGCAGATTTTTTAAGGCAAGAATTTCATTATTGACTGTTTAGGCAACTCTAAAAAACGATAAATAACATTGAATTTTCTAGGAACAAACTGGAAAACTATGAGCAGAGCTGCGCAGTCGACAGCGTAACAAAGAAGTGCGCCGGACCAACTGCAGAATGCAGGAAAGCAATACTGGGCATTCTTGGCACTGAAATACACACCAATTGCGTCTGCAAAGGCACTGAAATCAATCAGCTTTACGGCTGTTTAGGCTGGCAACGGCTTCTCTGGGTGAATCCTTGCGTAGGTGAGTGACAAATCATCATCATGAAATATATTCGTCATGTTGAACGGAAAATTTGATCGCACTAATCCAATATTTTTTTTTAAATAAATTCTAAAAAATGCTTATAAAAATAACTGTTATTTTTTAAAATAATTGCTTTACTCTGAATAAAGCGAGATTGATTTGGGCAACATATTATTTGAAAACACGAAATATATAAAATAAGGAGAAAAAAGAAGATTAAGTCATCGGAATTAAATAAAAGTAGTTATAAGCTGAACACTGGCCGTTATTGAAACGTTAATTAATGTAGCCTGACGATATACTGCCTCAATGTTTAATTGATATTTGCAAATATTTATCTCGCAATACGATTTTATCAGTCGGTTCTTCATTCAAACAGCGTTTCACAATTTCACGTATATATTGCGTATATTTATAACAGAACGTAGAAAGAATACACCGACATGTTATGATTATTATAGAAATGAATTGTTAATAATATCAATATATACGTTTTAACATTAAAATGCACTCTTTGCTAAGCTTGAAATTTTATCTTAATAACATTTTGAAATAAAATCTGACGTAAGTCATTTAATAACGAAAATTAAAAAGACATATTAAACTTCAAAAACTAATTAAGTAACAAAACTTGACTTTTTAACTATAACATTGCCTTAACTTCGTTTTAAGAAGAATTTAATTTGGCTCCTAATTTGCTAAGATATTCAACATTGACAACTTGGAAAATTACAATAAAAATCGATCCTGAAATTGTTACTGAAATTACCCGCTATAACTACTGTGTTGGATCATTGCAAAAAAACTTTACAGCGCATAAGTAGCACATAACAGACAGAACTGTATGAAGCGCTGCCGATGCGCTTGGCATGATGTATTTCCAGGACGCAGTGGGAGATGCAATTTCTTCGTATCTAAATGACTTATCTACCGGCTGAATGCAGCCCATTGCGTTTGCCGTGCTTTACAACTCGATAGGGTTGAGAAGGATCGATAAGAGCCAACCTGTGTCGTTTGTTCGACCGGTGTAATTGCGGTTCTGCGCGTAGCATTGCGATGAAACGGTTGTAGACTATTATAAATCGACGCATCACAGACCTTATCCTTTAAAGTCGCCCCGACGACGGCGATGCTTTATTTAAGTTGTTCAAAATACAACAATTTGATAATTAATTCTTTAGAATATTTTGAATAAGAAACATAACAAACGTATTTTTATTATAGCTTATAATATTCAGAAATTTAATTACAATTTAATTCTTAATATTTATATTTTTTTGGATATTGTTATCATTTTTACATATTTTAGAAATTTGACCGTATTATAATAATGCATTTATAAACGTTGATAAGTATAATCTATTTCACAGAAATAAAAGTTTTTCAGGTCGCCGCTGCAGCTCGTAAAATATTATTACGCGCATCTTACGTTCCCTATTATTGCTGTACGCGTCCCGCGAGAGGAGAGGCGCGCGGTGCCCCTTGAAAGTGTAATCACCCCGGAGCCCCCCGGTAGCTGAAATATTTCGCAGCAGCTGCGCCACCGGCGATACGGGACCGGGCGACTTTCCCGATACTTTCATACTTCCGCGTCGGATGGCTACACGTGTACATTCAACTGCAATTTTACAGGCTCTCCGTTCGGCACTTTATATTGCTTAGCGGTTGTTATTTGCGGCCGCACGTCCGTTTCCTGGCGCGCGCGAAAGAGTATGAGAGAGAAAGTATTAAGTTGAAGTTACTCCGAGGCGACGATGCCGATTCGAGTCGGCAGTTTTTCCTGCTTATTATTGTACCGTGAAATACTATAAGTTACAACAGAAAGTGAAAGAATTTTCTGATGCGTGTCATCCAATAAAACGTGGAATCGTAAATAATTTTGTACATAAGCAATAAGTGTCGCGGAATGGCGGATATAATTAAAAATGCGAAAGTTTGCATTTTAATGAAAGCATAACAGATAACTGGTGTGTAGAAATCAATTCATTTGATAATTTAACATATGTTGTAAAAAACGCGCTTAAAATTCTGTTGCTTGTTTTATTACATTTTGTACAATCGATCGATGAAATCGATTGTGTCTCTTAATTGACATTGTTTCGAGCATATCGTCGATTACAGTGGAATCGCAGAAGGACTACCACGCACGCAGGAAACACCATCATTCACGAATGACAACGCCGAAGACGACGACAACGACAATGACGACGACGACGACAACGATGATCGTTGCATTGACGACAAGGTCGCCGGCAAGCACGACGGCGACCATCGCGGTCGAGAAAACGGAAGATAATCGAATACCGGAAGTAACGAAGTGGCCGACCACCGAACCTACGGAAACTTGGGAAATCACGACCACCACCACTATGAGCACTACGCCGAGCACCACCACGACGCCGCCGCGTGAGTCTAAGCGCATTCATAATCATTATTTTCTATCTAATAAAAAATTCAGTTGATAAAATATTCAATATTGAAAATTGAACTCGTCAAGTCTTTTATTAAAACTTACTGCAACAAAAATCCTATTTTTTATATTTAGATTTTTAAAATATTACTAAATTATTCTTGAAACCTGGAATTTTTCAAATGCTGGATTTGCACATCATCGCCAATTTTATACGTCCGTATTTCTTAATCTATCCGGAGTATACAGTGTGTCTTGTTTGCAAACAGAGTAGCTTGAGAAAAAGAAGAATTTTTAATTTCTTTCGTCTGCATCGAGAAGCAAATTAGGTAGATCGCCCCCGGGGGTGAGATAGAGGCGGTGAGAGAGGTTGATAAAGGGCTGGAGAAACAATCTGGCGGAAAAGGCAGCCTCTCACGTCATTCTTTTTGCAGGCTTCTGCGTGGTTCAAAGAGCGAGTCACAGTCACCAATACATAAGAGAGGGCAAGGGCAAAAGGGTGAGTCGCTTGCATGCAATCTTCCAAGTCTCCCGCGACCGTCGTCGCGATGCAAAGCGTCCACCGCCGTCGCTTTCGAGAGCCGACGCTCGCGAGACAGAAAGGAAGCGAAGGTTTTGTGGGCGTCATGTGCGACGGGGTGGGCGAGAAATCGGCGGAAATCGGATATTTGCTGCACACTATCGGATTTGAAGGGATAGGCGAACAGACCGCAGTTTCACCTCGAATCTTATCGCTGTGAAACTATGTCTCCTTTAACGCATTTCCTTTAAAGTTTTCTCAATTTTGTGAGAAATTTTTAATAAGACAAATGATGCGCGTTAATATTAATTATAAATTTTTTCCAACGTCAACTTTTCCAACACAGAACTTGAAAGATTTGTCGATAAGTGTGAATTAAATCCGAAGCAAATATCGAAAAAATTATTGTAGTTTAAAATGTATATAATTTAATAATACATTTTTAAATGTTTTCGTATATTTGATTTCTGCGCGATATTGAAAGTGTTAAAACCAAAATATATGTATTACAACATTTTTTCAAATTCAATCTTTGAATAATTTTTTTAAGACAGTGAACATTATTGATGTTGAAGTTATTGCCTATTTTATTATTGATAATAATTTTCTTTATTTGTAGCAGACATTTCAATTGCAACATGTGTTACACTTTTATAGATGTATCACAAAAATGATTCCTCGGAGAACGATTGCTCGGATATTTGCCACTGCGGTGAGGGCGAGCAACTTGTCTGCCATGTCATCTGTGTTGAAATGTCACCCTGCAAGACGGACTTCGCTTTCTACAACCACAAAGCGCCGGCCTACCAGGCGCATCGGGGTCCTTGCCTTTGTTATAGCGGCGGCTTTATATGCATGCGGCCTTCGCCTGGTGAGCGATCATCTTTCTCATAATTGATATCATTAAATAAAAAATTGATTACTCAAGCAGCATTGAGTGGGGCACTTTTATTAAATTCCTAGGAAGACACAATTAATATAGTATATGCTTTTTTTTACTTTATTATAGAAATGAATATCTAAAGAATCAAGATTAATTAAATTTAATGCAATTTGCAAACTCGTAGTTTAGCGAAATTAAGACGTCAGTTTGTTTTATTTTTTATTTAAAGCAAACAATCAATAAATGTTTATCAATGGATATTCCTACGTTTTACAATGAATAACTATTGTTAAATACAATAAGTATCTCGCTTTCCTTTCCTGCTTTCAAAACTTGGACACGTAGTGAAATACGATTTTCGAGTAGATTGACAGGAAACTACTTCTCTTTCCACGGTATAATGCCATTCTATTTTTGTACAGACACATACAATATTCCGCACGGGGTTTTCATGTTCCTGGGATACAGCGAGAAGGAAGAGACCTTTTTGAAGCAGCACAACAACGTGACCGTGCTGGACGCGGTGTCGTCTCTCGACAATTTCATGAGAGAGGAAGTCAATAATCAGGTGAGGCGTCACTGTTAACACTCGCTGAATTAATTTCGAAATCGCCGCTCCGTAAGTAACGCGGGGCATATCACACTTGGACAGAAATTTCGCTTGAATTCCGAAATCGAGATTATTTTGAAAGCATTTTACTAGAATAGAATTTAAAATCAGTCGATTATTCCGGGATTTATTACATTTCGTGTTACTCATTCGGCGTCAAGAGAACAGACGAAGAGGGCATTCCGGAAAATTCCCAGAATGCAATTAATGCGCAGCATCTCCGATCGGCGCGAGAAATCCCGATAATGAGAAACGTCAATGAGAAATGTAATGGCTCGTCAAACTGCGCCTCGATTAAAAACTAAATCGGGCCGCGCGGAATTTAATAACGCCACCGCGGTACAGAGCGGTGAATGACGCGCCGACCAGCGCACACCTACATGCCCAGACCAACTCCCCCGTCTTCCATTTACAGACAGTATGCACGCTCTTCTTGTACAATGCGACCCGAGAAAACGTGATTGCAGTGGCGCGGCTCGGAACCGACAATCCACCCTTAAATAGCAGCCAGGCTCAGAGTTTGCAGCATCTGCTGCGCGTCAAGGTAAGCGAATCTCGAATGGACTTTTCCGCACTGCATGGAGAAAATTGAAAGCTTTTGGTGCGCGCTTGATAAGTCCACGAATGCACTTTTTCAAAAACCACGAGACAAAGAAATCCGCGCGTTTGAAGAAAATAATATTTTACTATATTCCAAATATGAATAAATGTAAAAGTTTCTGGCAATTATTTCTTAAGAAGCTTAAGAAGCATAAGGAGACATTTTGAATTTAACACTAACACTGTTTATTATTTTTCGGAAGCTTAAAAAAATATGTAAATTTTAGAATCACTATCTATTTGATATGTATGAGAGAGAATATTCTGAACTTAATGCAACATACAGGTTGCTATTACCTTGAAAGTTTGCAACATAGTACATTAAAAATACAGAATGGCAAGAGTGAGATGCAACTTGATTTAAATTCGCAGCGCGCTCTCAAAACGTGATATGACTTCTCGTCCGCGAATTTATTTTGTTTGCTTTGCTATTTTTTTCTTTAATGTGCTGTTCAAGAATTGTAAAGCCAGATTAACTTTGAAATATTCAGTGTGCAAAAAGTGAGATTTTATGGGATCTATGAGAAGGTTTCACAACAACCGCAGGTTCAAGAAAAGCTGATCGCGTGAACGACAGCGATTCGATGCACGCGCGTGCGTGCGCCCGACAGGAAGTCGGTGCGAAAGGGCGATAACGGGTCCTCGCGAAAGTTTTAATTTCCTCGACGAGTCTCGGCGTCGCTCGGGCGTAATTATCGCGATTAATCCACCCGTTCCTTGCCGAATTTCACCCTACGCGCCGCGATAGATCTCGACTGAGCGCGAATCGCCGATCGATCTCCAGGTTATTGCACGCGAGAATGCAGTCTCACGCGTGTCCGAAACACATAATGCGCTCCATTAAAATGCACGCAGGGTGATTAAAACTCTGTGATTCATGGCCGACTTGCATACACACAGTGTCGCGATTTAAATATACTAGATATGTCATCGTGATCGAATTTATGACGCGCTAGAACACAGAATTAAAACAACTTGTATGAAATACTAACTGAAATATATCGATTAGTCAACTGATTGATTGAATGTTATTATGTCAGAAAAAAATCTTTTTGGTATAAAAATATTTTGATTTATTGAATATGAAATAAGTGAAAGATTTTCACGAACTCTTTATAATATTAATTTATAATCACCGTTAGATGTAATAAATAAATCTATTGTTTTTTATACACATTTAATAAATTATCTTGTTTTTTTTTCAATTTTTAATCAAAAGGTTAGATGATATAAAAAAGTCTTAATCCACATGTATTTATTAGAATAATTGTTTCACATTAAATTTAATATGATTTTAGTTTACTAACTTTTTATAATAACTTTTGAAATAGCAGACAAATTAATTGTTGACTATACTATAACGATTACATTCAATTTACACGCTATAATCATTAAAAAAGCGATAATGTATTTTATTCTTATTATTCGGAGAATGTATTTCGTAAATATTCGACCTGAGAGAGACTTTATAATCGCGAATTCTCAACGTTGAAAAATTTGCACGAAAAAAAAAGGATCGACCAACGGAACAACACGCCAATTCGAATCCAGAATACTTCCATCAAGTTGCAAATGGACCGGCGCTTGATCACAGATTGGAAATCGCCTCGGGAACCTGTATGACTGTAAAATGCGTGCCGCGAGCAGAAAGCAACGCGCATTTAGCGATGTACAGGGCACCGAAGAGACGCGTCACAATCGATCGATGCGTGAGAAACGACATTGATGGAAAATCACACGGTACTGCAATATAACGACACGGAAAGCATCGATGAGAGTCTCATTAGCTACATTTGAGACAGAACCATGTTAAATTCGGAGTAAATCACAGATAATACTGCATTGCAGAGATTAATTACGGATTTAGTAAGGAATTAAATAAAAAATAAATATTTGCACAAAATAAATATGATAAAAAAATATAAAAAAGTCGGCTCAATAATACACAGTTAATCGAAGAGTTGTTTAATTACTTTAAGTAATTAAACAACACGTATATTCAAGCGAAGAAGAATATTCATATTTCGGAAGAATCAATATCATTTTGTGATCGAGTTCGTTCATTGAACGACCGGCGGAGAGCTTTAAATAACGGCTCGACGGAAAAACGTCTGATGGGATTATGGGAATTCGTTTCCGTTTATTGCCAGCGAGAAAGATAGCGGATTTCAGTTCGAATAAAATGGTCGTCTCGACAACTGTGCGATAGATATATAGATAAATAGATTGAGGATGGCTGTGGAGATCGGCGAATCGCGCTAAGCAACAGTCGCGATGAGAAAGGCGAGTTTAGGGAATTGAGTGAACTTACTAGCCCCGAGATGACCGTTATCATTGATGGAAGACTACTCTCTTTCTTCCCTCTCCAATTCCCGCTGCAATGTAGCTAAGGAATGTGCTCGAAGAAGAAATTCAGTATTGCGAAATTTATTTCTAAATATGAAAAAGAGCCTTATCGCGGATAATAAATTCGTAGAAGAGAAATAATAACGAATTGAGATAATCTTGCGCAATCGCGCCGAATTGTGCATTTTCTCCGAGCGTCCGATAGCGCGCTCGACTGGATATCATGAAGCGGCAGTTGGTGATATCGAGTCATTGTAGACCTGCGGCACGCGAGCGGTGTCTCAAAATTTTCCGATTCGTGCAAGTTCCTGGCAGTCGGCCCACGGTCCGTCCCCGATGTCATCTCAGCTCTTGTCGACCCATGCTTGTCCGTGACACCCACGGGGCTCGTAGCGGCGGCGGCCCTGCACTTGCATTCTCCCCCGGCGACTGCACGTCGCGGCTACATACGTCATAAAACTTTGCTAATATAGCGGAGGACCGCGGCGGCGGCGCCGTCTTTGCACCGGCGACTCGAAATCGCTCGTTTCCACCTCGCCGGGCTTGCATTCGTCTTACTTTCCCTCATCTTTCACTTTTCACCTCCCTCCCCCCTCCGCCCCGCCCTCATCTGTACTCTCATCCTCATTCTCTCCTTCCACTGTCGAGCGGGATTTATGCGATTCGAAGCTCGTGCAGAACTTTACGGCTTCGAACATCCCACTCGAATCATTATTCGAATCACCTAATCGTTTGTCAGCCAGATGCAATCGAGTTCTTCTATCGAGGAAGAAGAATCGATTGTCTTTAATTGGCACTTCGCTATCCAATCGCTTGCGCGATTATTATTTTTGTCCGTTTTATATGATTTTTCAGCGTGATTGTTCGACCGTGATTGTTCGATAATTTGACCTGATTCGATATCAATATCGTGCTCTTAGATTTTGTGCAGCCAATTACGTCTCTTCAATTAACCGTGGTTGTAGCTGCAAAACGCTTCCAATTACACGTTTTTGAATTGTATTTAAATCAAATTACCAAACATCTCTTCTCTGATAAACAATTAAATTGATCGCATTAAATTTGTAATTTCTGTCAATTTTTATTCAAACGATATTTAAGACAACAGCAGCAGTCGCTGCTATTTTAAGCGTCACGTTACAAATTTGTTTTATTTCTGCAGAAATTTTCCTTTGCCATTATTACAAATGCGCTGTTATTATATTATTATAATTATGATTTATCCATTTTTTTGTGTCTCTGATTTACATATTTTACCGTTTTCATTAAAACAACAATTAACTTTTGATAAACTCAACTTTTCCGTTTACCTTAAAGTAAGAATTTTTGTGTCAAAAAAATGACGGGTTAAAGTATCATACATTTTTTGTTGCTTAAAAATAGCAGGAAAACTGATATTGTAAAAACAAAATTAGACTGCACCGGCGAAGATGACTTTCATACCGAAATAAAGATAGATTTCGGAAGCTCGTGAATATATATATATATATCGTGACTGAAAACTAACGAATTACTCTTCTGGGTACCGAATGATACTACAATCTTTATTCAGTGCGACGCGAAGTTACGTCCTGACGGCGCAGTTTAATCCCATCTTACGGCAGTTCGAGAAACGGCGAAAAAGCCGCGGCTTTCCGACGCTGCGCTCCGTTTTTCAATTATGCATTCGCATATTTTACCGGAATGCCTTGTCGCATTCAGCGACGAGCGCGACGACAGCTGCCGGACTGCATTTACGAGGTTAACAATAATTCAACGCCACCATCTTTACGCCGATAGTTGTATACCGGGTGCTCTCGCAGTGTGCTCTCGCTTTTTATCTGGTACGCATATTCCTAAAGTTTTGAACAATTTAGGAAAATTTTTTTATTGTCCTCAGATCTCATAATTCGTAATTTTACAGTTACACGAGCGAAGAAAAGTAACTTAATTATTATTTATTAAACTTCCAGGAACCTCTTAGATTTACAATTTCTTCGTTAGAATTTCTTACAAATTCGAAAAGAGGGCAATCATCCGAAAATATAGAAAAATCGGAAAATGGAGCAATCTAAATTCACGTCGGTGCCATCAAATTGGAAAATTAAGAATCTGGAAATAAAAGTCTCGCGTGCACAAAGTGCGTGTCTAATAATTCAGAACTCATCTCGATATGGCACACTTTGCGATCTTTTTCTAGCTTTCTATCTTCGTCATTCTTTCGCAGATGATCACCACTTCTTTTTCCATTGTGTCGAGTAGATTGTTGTTATTTCATCTTTTTACACTGCTAAAAGTGGAATTGCAGAAAAATTGGAGCTCGTTAAAATCCGTCGTACTTTACCTTCAGTTGAGCTAACGGCACAGCTCGTCGTGTTTAACGTCACCACTAAACACGCTCGCTACCGTAACGAACAGCGACGGAAAAGACGAGGTGGTTTTTACGACACCGTGCACGACGACATGCGAGAAATCGAGCACTTTGAAGGACAAATCACGATGAAACGCCTGTCGTGTAAAGTGTGAAGCATGCAAGGGGTTGGCTCGGGAAAAAGCTCTTACTCCGCTGCTATTAATCCTTTTATTATCAAAAAGTATAATGAAACTGTCCCGATAGTC